TGCAGTCTGTTACCAAAATTAATCCTCTGAGTCTTTGCGAGGTCTTGAGGCATGGTGTCCGCCTCGAGTGCTAGAGGTTCCGGGTTCAAACCCCTATAGGCTGGGATTTTTTCATGTGGACTTGGACTTCTATTAATTCCCCCTGGTCTCTGGGTAGTGAGATCAGATGCCCGTGTACACTATTGCACACATAAAACATCACTTGACAGTTGGAAATTGAAAAGAGCAGCCTAACGACGCTGCCCGGGCAAAATTTGGAGTTAGAAATCTACCCAAAGTATTTCAGGATCCTCGCTGGTGCTACAGTGCCTGTGCACTGTGCTGAGCTTCTTCGGACTCAGACTTGAGTTAGAAGAAGAACGGAGCATGTATGGGTTACTACCCGTGTGCCATGATGCTGATCCATTGTTCAAAACCTCAGAAGTAACATTTGATGTGTGATTGTCTTGTGCCTTTTAATTCCAACCAAAATGTTAGCTGTTTTCTAGCTTTTTTCCATTTGACCAAAACATACTTTAGAAATTAAGTTCATGAAAAATCAATTTCATTAGGCATGTAATCTCCAGGAAAGTGAGGAACTCATATTTTTTATGCTGGATTTATCCTCCCTTGGGTTCCTGCAGTAATATCTTTTAGGACAGAAACAGGTTAAAAAAAAAAACCACAACAACAGGTAATGCCTAACTAACAAAACACAAGAGAATCCTACCTGAGCGAATTCGCTAGCTTCAGATCTCTGTTGCCACTCCAGGCGGTACTCACTGACACTGGCCCCATTATTAAACGGCTCCTCCCATGTGACTAGTGCAAAGTGTGCTGACCGGCACAGCACCTGGGGGGCCTTGGGGGCATCTGGGACCCCGGCCCCACTGACGACCTCCAGCGGTTCTGACCAGGGACCAGCCTATGCAAGTATGGAAAACATTTGAAAATATAGACCTAACTGTGCTACACAGTTACTTAAACTAAAGACAATTACAGCATGCAAGGGGACCATTGGAATTAGAACTCTTCAAATGCTGCTGAAGATGGGGTCAGAGTGCTTATGGGAATAAGCAGAATGCTGTGATGTTGGTTCTCAACTCAACTCTTAACTAGAGTTAACTCAGTGTGCAAGAGAGAAGAATCATGTGGGATCTTATAGTAATCAGTGTTTTCTCTTACAGAACAGTGATCTGAGTTCAATGGTGAGCACCCAAATTATTTTCCACCAGTATGGTTTTTGGGGGTGTTGGGTGGGGACAGCTGAGAAAAGCATATGTGCTCAGACCTGATTTGCCTATGATTTATTTGGATAAAATATCTCTCTGATTTCTTGGCTCTCAGGTTAATCCAGCCTTAAGTGGGTACCAGGCACAGTTCTGGGAAGTAAAGGTGGCGGGCATGATGCTGACCACATCACCCACCGAGTGCAGTCTATAAAATATAGGTCTAGCCCTATATGCCCACTACTCAATATGTGGAAAAGGGTCCTTAACTGTTGACTTTATTCTCTGATTAACTGAAAGTTCCAAGTTTAAGGATTTGCGTTACTCTGAAATCCCAACATTCTTAGTAAACTTCAACACCCCCCACTACTTAAAAGCTCCACATCACCAGATATTTCCCTATGTAGCTTATGCTGTTCATCTGCTTCTTGCAGGACAGCCTTATGTGTTTTCCATCCTGCTAAGAAAACATCTGTCACAGATGAAACTCACCCTAATCTTACAAAAACCTCTAAGTCACAGATGAAACTCACCCTAATCTTGCAAAAACCTCTAAGTCACAGATAAAACTCACTCCATTTTGCAAAAAACTTTTAAGCCACAGACAAAACTCACCCTAATTTTACCCAAAAAAACCTAAGTCACAGATGAAACTCACTCCATCTTGCAAAAACCTCCAAGTCACAGAGGAAACTCACTCTATTTTGTAATAACTTTAAAGTCACAGACAAAACACCCTAATTTTACTCCAAAAAACTTAAGTCACAGATTAAACCTACCCCATCTTGCAAAAATCTCTAAATCACAGATGAAACTCACTCTAACTTACAAAAACCTCTAAGTCACAGATGACACCTACTTCATCTTGCAAAAACCTCCAAATTAAAGATTAAATTCACTCTAACTTACAAAAACCTCTAAATCACAGATGAATCTTACTTTAACTTACAAAAACCTCTAAATCACAGATGAAACTCACTCTAACTTACAAAAACCTCTAAATCACAGATGACACTCACTCTAACTTACAAAAACCTCTAAATCACAGATGAAACTCACTCTAACTTACAAAAACCTCTAAATCACAGATGACACTCACTCTAACTTACAAAAACCTCTAAATCACAGATGAAACTCACTCTAACTTACAAAAACCTCTAAATCACAGATGACACTCACTCTAACTTACAAAAACCTCTAAATCACAGATGACACTCACTCTAACTTACAAAAACCTCTAAGTCGCAGATGAAACACATTATCAATGGGGAAAAAAAACAACTGATCCTACTGACAGTTTTCAGTGAACATAAAACTTACCCCAGCTCTGTTGAAAGCTCTGACTTGAAATAAGTATGGCCGTCCAGGCAAGAGACCAGTAACAATACAGTCCTTGTCGTGGCCCTTGTAGACTTCCCTTGTCGTGTTGTCAGGGGAGATCATTTGAGCAGCAAACATTGTAACTTGTGAACCCCCATCATAATCTGGGTAACCTAAACAAGGAAATATAAACAGCAAATAACCAACTGGGTAATCAACATCTACCTCAGTGAAACACAACAGTATTCCACACTATTTACTATACTGCAAGAAATATAAACTTTAAAAGCCCCCCGTCCGGCCCACATGAATATATGACCCTCTGCAATAAGCCTTTGACAATAGAAAACATACTGGTGACAGACAACTCTAGGTAACTGCAGGGAATGATTAAACAATACATCACAAGAACAAAAGTTTGCATTCAGGTATTAAAATATATCTAAACTCTGTCCCCCAGGAATGTTGAAAATATGGATCATGACCCCGTGGGAATATTAATTAACTATGCCCTTCGTAAACATGTCACTATAGAAGTAGCAAAAGTGACACTTATGGGGAACTGGACCCAACTAGAAGTTTTAGTGTTGCGTGGACAACAGGGTTAAAAAAGAATAATGTGAACCATTTTTAAACTATATATTAATCATTAAAAAGATGAAGAGGAGGAGGAAGAAGGAGAAGGGGAGGAGGAAGAAGAGGAGGAGGAGAAGAAGAAGGGGAGGAAGAGGAGAAGGAGGAAGCAGGAGAAGAGGAGAAGGAGGGAGAAGAAGAGGAGGGTGAAGAGGAGGTGGAAGGGGAAGAGGAGAGGGAAGAGGAGGAGGAGAAGAAGAAAAAGAAGAAGAGGAGGAGGGGAAAGAGGAGGAGGAGGGGAAAGAGGAGGAAGAAGAGGAGCAGAAGAAGAAGAAAAAGAATAGGAGAAAGAGAAGGAAGATGAGGAAGAGAAGAAGACAAAGAAGAAAAAGATAAAGAAGAACAAGAAAAGAGGGAAGGGGAGGAGGAGGAGCAGAAGAAGAAGAGTAGGAGGAGGAGAATCATTGTATATGGGAAGCAAAACTAGTGCAGCCTCTGTATAATAATCAATCAATCATTCACCCTCTGTCACCCTCACTCACCCTCTCTCACCTCACTCACCCTCACTCACCCTCTGTCACCCTCACTCACCCTCTGTCACCATCACTCACCCTCTCTCACCCTCACTCACCTCTCTCACCCTCACTCACCTCTCTCACCTCTTACTCACCTCTCACTCACCCACCTCTCACTCACCTCACCCACTCACTCACCTCACCCACCCACTCACCTCACCCCACTCACTCACCTTACCTCACATACCTCACCTTACCTCACTCACCTCACTCACTCACCTCACCTCACTCACTCACCTCACTCACTCACCTCACTCACTCACTCACCTCACTCACTCACTCACTCACTTACCTCACTCACCTCACTCACTCACCTTACTCACTCACCTTACTTACTCACTCTCTCTCTCTCTCTCTCTCTCTCTCTCTCTCTCTCTCTCTCTCTCTCTCTCTCTCTCTCTCTCTCTCTCTCTCTCTCTCTCTCTCTCTCGCATTTTTATTTAAGTTGAAATTATGTTAATTATGGAAGATATAGTCAGCTCTGTGGCTAAGTCGATGCAAACGCTTCGTAATGCCGGGTTCGATCCCAGCTGCAGGCCATGTACCCTGCATTGGTTTCGACAGTTGTATCAAGAAGCCGACTGTCCAGAAATCAATGGCAAACTACTGAACGTAAATTTGCCTAGAGAAACCACACAACAGCCAGGGGCTACTGGGGTTGGTTCTGCAGCGTCATGTAAAGAATACGCAACTAACCATGGAAGAGATAAATGACTTACCCCATCGCAGGTGTAGTGATGTGGCTTTAGGTTTTCCCTGAAGTTTGGGGACCTGGCACTGAGAAGGTGTGACTGGTAATGTAGTAGCTACGCAGCTGTCAGAGAACTGGTGAACAAAACAACATGGGCTAGATCAGTAAACTCTCTACACTAACCTGGATTATAGAAGAAACTCACTACACTAACCTGGATTAGAGAAGAAACTCACCACACTAACCTGGATTAGAGAAGAAACTCACCACACAAACCTGGATTAGAGAAGAAACTCACTACACTAACCTGGATTAGAGAAGAAACTCACCACACTAACCTGGATTAGAGAAGAAACTCACTACACAAACCTGGATTAGAGAAGAAACTCACCACACAAACCTGGATTAGAGAAGAAACTCACTACACTAACCTGTATTAGAGAAGAAACTCACTACACTAACCTGGATTAGAGAAGAAACTCACTACACTAACCTGGATTAGAGAAGAAACTCACTACACTAACCTGGATTAGAGAAGAAACTCACTACACTAACCTGGATTAGAGAAGAAACTCACTACACTAACCTGTATTAGAGAAGAAACTCACTACACTAACCTGGATTAGAGAAGAAACTCACTACACTAACCTGGATTAGAGAAGAAACTCACTACACTAACCTGGATTAGAGAAGAAACTCACTACACAAACCTGAACTAAATTAGGAAACTCACTAACTCACTACAAAAGCATGGAGTAGATCAAGAAATTTACTATAAAAGTATGACGTAGCTCAAGAAACTAACTACAGAAGTATGCAGTAGATACAAAATTTACTATAAAAGTTTGAAGTAGCTAAACTTACTAAAAAAAAAAGCATGGAGTAGATCAATAAAAGTATGAGGTAGCTCAAGAAACTAACTGCAAAAGCATGGAGTAGATCAATAAAAGTATGAAGTAGCTCAAGAAACTAACTACAAAAGCATGGAATAGATCAATAAAAGTATGAAGTAGCTCAAGAAACTCATTACAAAAGCATGGACTAGGTAAAGAAACTCCTTACAAAGGTAATAACTAGAAAACACAACCTACTACCTGGTAAAAGTAAAATAAAAAGAGCTATTCTCGCCTTTAGCGCATCAGTCATATTGTGCTAGATCTATTTCTCATAGACCAATCAGCATTAGATGGGTGGGTCATTTCGTCCTGGAACCTATCTAGGTCCAATGCAATAAAATCCAAATGCTACTATTCTGATAAACAATGAAATACCAGGTTATACACAGAAACCACAACAGTGTGTCTGATTACCACATGGCACTAATGTATTGTACAAGTATTCCTGATTAACTCTTTTGATACCAGAGAACAGTTTTATTAGGTATGAATTAACACGGGGCTGTTCCTCGGTACGGAAAGAGTTAAGACATAAGGCTAGCTTTGAAGACAAGACTGAATATACAAAGGTGAAAAAATTGTGTTAACAGACTGTATTTAACACATTTTGGAGTGTAAATTCTGGCGGTTGTGAGCCGAGGATGAGGGCAGCATGGCTTGTGCAGTTCCCACAAAATGTGCAGGTTACGATTTTTATGTTGGTCCTCCTAGAATAAAAACTTCAGTCAATTTACTGAAAATTCTAATCTACGACTTCTGAAGGAGGGCCAAGAGTTAACAACACTCTCACAAACTACATATACTCCTGCTTTAAAGAAAAACTATTTATATATATTTATATATATATGTGTAACAAGTTTACCTTGAAGCAACTGGAAAAAGTAAAGGAAAATACATTTCAAGATTAGGTATATTAAAGAGGCTTGCAGGCACAACAGGAAGATCAAACAAAGACACTGGGATACCTTTACAGTGGTTACATCCACTCTGTTATACAACACAATGTGTTGCTGGCACCTTGCTCAAAGACAAATACATAATACCTAAACAGATAAGTCTGCTATAACTATAATATTGGCATGTCAAAACTGACATCTTTTTCCCCAGAAGAGTGCATGAAATATGAGACACGCCTCAAATACCCAAAGTGAAAAGGGCCGCTTAATTACTAACGAATGCCTAATGTGATAACATAACAAAAGACATGGTTCCAGAGGCTGCTATTAAACAAGATACTGTGCCATATGCTGTAGCTCTAATCAAGTAACACTGTGATATATGCTGTGGCTCTGATTATAACAGGATAACACTGTGCCATATGCTGTGGCTCTGATTATAACAAGATAACACTGTGCCATATGCTGTGGCTCTGATTATAACAGGATAACACTGTGCCATATGCTGTGGCTCTGATTATAACAGGATAACACTGTGCCATATGCTGTGGCTCTGATTAAACAAGATAACACTGCCACATCCACTAGCCCTGATTAAGCAATGTAACACTATGTCATAGTCAGTGACTATAATTAAGATCAAACAGTGACAAACCCAACATGAGCTAAGAGCTGTTATGGTTTCAGAAGTGGCTTTACAGATATTCAAGACATTCCCATAAATGCTCCAATGCCATCTAGGGCAGGTATCACCATGTGGATTTGAACCCACGACATCTGAGTCCATAGGTGAGCATCTAGATGCCATACTATGGCGCATTTCTAAATGGATACCAATATAAAAAGTCATGAATGCATAACATTCAAACAGGCAAATTACACAGTGAAAGTAGCCAGATTTATTCAGTGTCCTCATCATCATCATGTGCCATGCCAACTGGCGTAGGCGCTGATGCGTCTCTACAGATCACGATCCCTGGTTGACTAGAACAGCTCTCTTGATATCCCTCCATGCCATCGTTTTAGCCCATCCAGCATTATCTCTCTTGGTCTGCCTCTACCTCTTTTTCCCCTGATCTTTCCAGTTTTCATGATGTTCTCCAATGTCTCTCTTCTCATTATGTGGCCAAAGAACAGTGTTTGTCTCTTTCTTATTGTTGTAGAGATCGACTTTCATTAGCCTCTTTTAAGCAACCATTGTTACTTACTCTGGTCGTCCAAGGTATTCATAACATTCCTCTCAGAAACCACATCTCAATGTGCTGTGACTAATGGCAAAATGGGGGTGAATACATTACAAGATGGCTGCGATTCATCTGGAAAAGTCTATTATGCATCCACATTGCATGGGACTGAAAGAGTGAAAGGTAAAAAAAAGGGGGGGCTTTCAGCCCAACTGACCAAAACTCAAAATAAAACTAACAGGCAAAACACTTACATCACTCCTCCCAGCAGCACTGCAGCAGGCCACGCGGATGTGGTAAACATGGCCTGGAATTAGGTGATCAAACAGGTGCTCCCGTTCCGAGCCCTCATAGACAGTATCATAACCTGCATCATGATGGAGTACAAGAAGGGGGTACAGTTAGGTGCTTCTCAAAATAGGGTCTGTTTGTGGTCTAAGACATGCTAGGAAATTGTATACCCATGTCATTATTATACAGTCATAGTGCCTATAACAATGTGATGGGTAAGCAAAACATATTTCCTTTACTAAATCAGTGGAAAAAAAAATCATGTGCAATATTCTTTTTTCTTCTCTTCTTTTAGTTAACTCAGTTACACGTGCGTGCATCTAATGGCTGCATCCTGCATGCATGTATGTATGTGTGTGTATGTGTTTGTGTCTGTGTGTGCATGCACGAACATTTGTGTGTGTGTGTGTGTGTGTGTGTGTGTGTGTGTGTGTGTGTCTGTGTGGGAGTGGGTGATGGGATGTAAACATCATTTGTAACAGTGAAGTTCTAAGACATCCATTTTCTTCTTCCATATTCATAGAATCACCCATAACTTACATCCATAACTAGCATCAGTTGTACCAAGTTCTTATATTGCTTCACTCAAGCATCAGCTGTACCAGGTTCTCCTATTGCTTCATTTAAGCGTCATTTGTACCAAGTTCTCCTATTGCTTCATTTAAGCATCATTTGTACCAAGTTCTTCTATTGCTTCACTCAAGCATCTGCTGTACCAGGTTCTTCTATTGCTTCACTCAAGCGTCAGCTGTACCAGGCTCTCACCATTACTTCACTCAAGCAATGGCTGCCTTGCATAGTGCCACACAACAACTTTTACAATAACCGCCTTGCATAGTGCCACACAACAACTTGTACAATAACCGCCTTGCATAGTGCCACACAACAACTTGTACAATAACCGCCTTGCATAGTGCCACACAACAACTTGTACAATAACCGCCTTGCATAGTGCCACACAACAACTTGTAAAATGACTGCCCTGCATAGTGCTACACAACAACTTGTACAATAACCGCCCTGCATAGTGCCACACAACAACTTGTACAATAACCGCCTTGCATAGTGCCACACAACAACTTGTAAAATGACTGCCCTGCATAGTGCCACACAACAACTTGTGAAATGATTGCCTCGTACAGTGGTACACAACAACTTGCACAATTACTGCTACACAACATGTAGAAATGCTAAACAACAACTTGTACAATGACTACCTCGTACAGTGGTACACAACAACTTGCACAATTACTGCTACACAACATGTAGAAATGCTAAACAACAACTTATACAATGAGTGCTACACAACATGATGTAGAAAGGCTACATAACAACCTGTACAATGACTGCTACATAACATTCAAAATACCTTGTACAAAGAGTGCTACACAACATGTAGGATTGCTACATAATAACTTGTACATTGAGTGCTACACAAGATGTAGAAATGCTACATAATAACTTGTACATTGAGTGCTACACAAGATGTAGAAATGCTACATAATAACTTGTACAATGAGTGCTACACAAGATGTAGAAATGCTACATAATAACTTGTACATTGAGTGCTACACAAGATGTAGAAATGCTACATAATAACTTGTACAATGAGTGCTACACAAGATGTAGAAATGCTACATAATAACTTGTACAATGACTGCTACACAAGATGTAGAAATGCTACATAATAACTTGTACAATGAGTGCTACACAAGATGTAGAAATGCTACATAATAACTTGTACAATGACTGCTACACAACAACTTGTACACAGAGTGGCAATTTACACAATGACATTTACAAAGTGCTACACGACATCTTAAGTATTGCAAGACATGTTTTTTTCTTTTTTTTTTATATAAAACATTTTCTGTCAATGGTTTTTTGATGAGAAAAACACATGCCTCTATGAAGGCTGTCCTCCGACACTTGTCCTCCATTGATCCATGTGTTTTGGTTTCCACCGGAATCCCAAGGGTCAGTCCTAGGATCTATCAACTACATGTAGAGAGCAAGTTCAATACTTTGTGGTGCCTGTCCATATGAGAGAAGTTCTGAGTGCCCTATCTTGTACATACAGCTCCAGAGTCTGTTGTGTCCAGTTCACAGTCTAAATACAATGGTCCATCTCTTTCAGCTGGACAGGTTGATTGCTTCTCTGGGTTTGTTCTCTGTGTTCTGAGCGGAAATTGCTCTAGTGGTTTCTACCGACTGCTTTGATCAGGGTTTTATTTCCTCCTAAATGCAATATGTATCTGGCTGTTCCGCTGAATGCTGAATAAGGAATCCACATCACAGCACTCAGAGCATTCCCACAAGTGCCCCTCCCCATCTTCAGCAGTAAGTGTAGAGTTCCAATTCCAGTGGCAACACTAATAGTCTGTAGCAGTTAGCTGAAGTGACACAGCACAGAGAGGAAAGCAAGAGAGCCTTGACAGACAATACATAATTAGCTTACTACAAAACACTCAACATCCACATTATCACATTCACCAAGAGAGACTAAGCATCTAGTGACTTTCCCCTTAATGCAATAGCACTGAGGTAGCACATATTAAATAATTATATTTTCCCATGTGGGTTCCAGGGTACCATTTTGTGGGGAAAAAAGAACAGATCATCTGCCCCCAACAGACATGACTTATAAGGGTTTTGCTGTGCTCGTTTGCTTTGGTCCAAAAGGTACAGATATTGAAGCCCAATTGTAAATAAGCCACACATTATGTTCCAACCACCTTATTTTTTTTTTTTTTTAATGAGTTAAAGCAGAAGAAGAAGAAAATTCTTGTTACATAAAACAACATCAAGCAACAACACAACAAAACAGACAGGCAAATTTACCTCCTTCTGCAAGAAATAAAAAAGAAAAAAAAAAAACTAAATGGGTCATAAACAAACAGACCTTAAAGATTTTCTTCTTAAATTCTAAATATTACTGATGATTTATTCTCATGTGTCAACTCATTCTATATTAAGAACTTTCTCAAACACAGAACCAACTCAACTCTGAGTCCCAGAGGGTTTATCATCATACACCCAAGGGATAGTCAAGAGAGACGTTAAATCGGCGCATCATGCGTTCATTGGACCTCTAGGTAGGAAACTATGAACGTGTGATGCATTTGGACTCAAAGAGTTAAAGAAGAGAACCCAAAAATGTGGCTTCTTCTTCTTCTTCTTTTTTATCCGTTTATTAAAAATTTCTCTCAGGAAACCAGAAGCCTTAATGAAAGATATACTCCAGTCCAGATTTCACCATGTGCCATACAGCTTTGTGCTGACTCAGGTTGGAACATGCCAGATGGCACCTCTGTTAGCAGCTCAGCATTTCCATGTGCCGAGGTTGCAGCGACACACTCATGCTGGAAAAACTTGAAAAAAGTTGGCACAACTCTGTTGTGCCTGGCCTTAGTCTGAATATGATACACTGACCCACTCTTGACAGGTGAGGAAACAAGTCTTGAGATAATTTGGTGTGGGTATCCAGCCATATTTCTGTGAAGCTAGTTTTGTATTAAAGTCTTAGTCTCCTGGTTGGTTATATTACAATTCAAGCAATAAACTTATTTATTCACTCAGTCTCAACAACCACTTCAGACCTGCAAACTAATTGATCTTCTTCTTTCTTCTGTCGTTCTCGCTGACACCAGGTTGCAGCCCAGTGTTGTGGTTTTCAAACTGACTGATACCCACTCAAAAACCCTAATTCAGAACAATAATAGCACATCAAGACTATTTCCTAAGATACTGAGATTCCAAACTTGTAAACAGATTCCAAACATTATACTGAGATACCAAATATGCATGCTGAGATTCCAAACCTCAGCACTGTGATCTCAAACCTGCACAATGAGATTCCAAAACTATACACAAATTGCAAGCCTGCCCACTGAGATTCTAAAACCCGCATGTGAGATTCCAAACCGGAGCACTTTGATTTCAAAGCCCACACACTGAGATTCCAATCCCACACATATATTCCAAACCTGCACACAGATTTCAAACCCACACACTGAGGTTACAGACTCATACTCAGATTCCATACTGACCTTCACAGAGATTCCTCTCACATACCACAATCCTTCATACACACTGCAATCCCTCTTACATATAAAGATCCCTCTTACACAGTGAGATTCTTCTCACATAAGATATCCCTTTCACAAACCAAGATCCCTCTCACAGAAGAGATCCCTCTCACACAAGATCCCTCTCACACGATGACATTTCTCTTACATCCTAAGATCCCTCTTATACATTCTTACACGGAGACCTCATGGGCTAAGAACCACACTGAGATAACAACTCACCTTGCCCATCATCCAACTCCACAATGTATCTGGTTATCTCAGTTCCACCTGTATCCTGGGGTGGATCTGAAATGAGGGATGACAGAACATTTTACCAGGTGAACACACCAATTCATGATAATGTAACTTTCATAACTGACAATCATTACTTTGTTTTTGATTCCTTTTTATCAGAAGTGGCAGATGACGAAGAAAACTAAATGCCATGTATGTTTCCAAATAACTGAAAATATTCACTATTTTCAAATGTTCTCTGTACAATAAATCTACATTAAGGATTTAAACACTTAAGCAGTCCTTGCTAGAGTCTTTCCCACCAAGAGAACTAGCTGAAAATTACATTCTTTTCAATGAATGAATAAATGAATGAATGAATGAATGAGAGAGAGAGAGAGAGAGAGAGAGAGAGAGAGAGAGAGAGAGAGAGAGAGAGAGAGAGAGAGGGCGGTGGGGAGGGGGGGGGGGGGGGGAGGGGGGGGGAGAGAGAGAGAGAGAGGGGAGAGAGAGAGAGAGAGAGAGAGAGAGAGAGAGAGTGAATGGATGGGTGGGTGGGGTGTGTGTGTGTGTGTGGGGGGGGGGGGGGTGTAAATGCAACAGATTCATTAAAGCCAGGTTGACCTAAATATTTTCCCAGAAGCCTCAGTGACAGAAATCACAGGGTCACAGAATGAGTCAGCCTAGATATATTTGTTTCAGGCCCCAAGGAATGCATTCCATTTAATGCTTCACTTTGTTCTCATTCACTGATTACTCCCGTTATATGTCAATATAGACAAATACATTTTTTGACAATTTACCTGTGTAAAAAAAAATAATTATAAAATTCTCATGTGTTCATGACCCATCTGTTTTAGCATTCATGAGGTGAAAAAGTAGTAAGAGAGTTGCACAGTGGAGAGATTGTAGCCTCATTAGGTAATAATCCCATATACAGTGGAGGGTGCACTATATCCAATCTTTATTGTGCAGACAAAACAACTGTTACTCTTCAGGCTGTGTGGCCCAAGAATGATACTATAAAAAGCCTAATGATCCTTGAAAGAAAATTCTCAAAACCACATAATACTTCCATGTTTTTGCCCTTATCTAAGAAAGAAGCCTACATACTTAATCTCACTATCAAAGAGACTGAAGGTATATGAGGCCATATATATAAATACTGACTGCAGTGAAGCTGTGGAAGCCTACATCCTTAATCTCACTATCAAAGAGACTGAAGGTATATGAGGCCATATATATAAATACTGACTGCAGTGAAGCTGTGGGAGCCCACATCCTTAATCTCACTATCAAAGAGACTGAAGATATAGGAGGCCATATATATAAATACTGACTGCAGAAAAGCTGTGGAAGTCTAGGAAAAAACAGATGTTGCACTGATGATCTTTCATCAACAGAATAATGAGAAAAACAAAACACTATTTAAAAAAAAAATAAGAAATCTAAAATGACTACTTTCCAGTTTTAAGATGATGTTTCTCGACGCTGTTCTGTTTTGCTGATGAAGGCAAAACACCACAGCATCCTTTGTCAATTGTAATTGGACCTGTAACGCTGATAAATACTTCAAATTTCAAAATCTTTTTTTTTTTTTTAGACTATTAGAAGCCAGTGGCTTTGTGTAACAGTTCACATCTCTCTGCTCAGGGATGACACTCGACAATATTTACTTCAGAATCTGACACCCGGCAATCCTTATTTCAGAATCTTACACCTGGAAATCTTTACTTCAGAATCTGATACCCGGCAAACTTTACTTCAGAATTTGACACCCGGCAATCTTTACTTCAAAATCTGACACCCGGCAATCTTTACTGCAGAATCTGACACCTGGCAAACTTTACTTCAGAATCCGACACCCTTGGCAAACTTTACTTAAGAATTTTACACCCTGCAAACTTTACTTCAGAAATGACACCCCTGGCAAACTTTACTTCAGAATCTGACACCCTTGGCAAACTTTACTTCAGAATCTGATAGCCGGCAATCTTTACTGCAGAATGTGACACCCTGCAAACTTTACTTAAGAATTTTACACCCGGCAATCTTTACTTCAGAAATGACACCCCTGGCAATCTTTACTTCAGAAATGACACCCCTGGCAAACTTTACTTCAGAATCTGACACCCTTGGCAAACTTTACTTCAGAATCTGATAGCCGGCAATCTTTACTGCAGAATGTGACACCCTGCAAACTTTACTTAAGAATTTTACACCCGGCAATCTTTACTTCAGAAATGACACCCCTGGCAAACTTTACTTCAGAATCTGACACCCTTGGCAAACTTTACTTCAGAATCTGACACCCTTGGCAAACTTTACTTCAGAATCTGACAGCCGGCAATCTTTACTGCAGAATGTGACACCCTGCAAACTTTACTTTAGGATCTGACACCCCTGGCAAACTTTACTTCAGAATCGGACACCCTTGGCAAACTTTACTTCAGAATCGACACCAAGCTACTTATCCACACAGCTTCCAGAGACTTTAGAGATAAAAGATACTTACCCCAGGTGACACGAAATGAGTATGGGTTAATTTTCCCCTTGATCTGAGGTTTACCAGGTGCTTGAGGTCGCTCTGGTTGTGTTTTGTAAGTAACTATTTCACTCCATTTACTCTGACCCTCCTCGTTTTTGACACACAGCTGAAAGTAACAAATTGTTGCCCTTTTGTGAACATATTAAAAATCTCTTTATGACAACCACACAGATCTGAATAAAGATAAGTTTGCACATGAATAAATGAATCTGATAAAAACATAAGACTGACAGACAGGCAGATAAGTAGCAGGTATGTAGGCTAAGAGGCATGTTGTAACACTAGATAAACAGGCAGACAAAAGATAACGAGGACAAACAGACAAGAGAATTAGGAAGAAATGAACAAACAAACAAACTTTATTTTCAAAGGGTCACAAATTGGGCACGCAGGCCTATCTTACATTTGGTCCTTCTGAATACTCATCTTTCAGACCACAACTATATGTTACCAAAAAAAAGAATTTTAATTTTATATTACAATATACATTATGAATATCAACAAAATTAAAATATTGATTAATATTATTTTTTTAAAAACATCATACCAAAGCTTGGATGGTAAATGCATGCATTCTATTATGCATACATATCTATAGCACAAGCATTCCCACATACATACATAAGTACACACTCACATGAATATTTAGACACAGACAAAAATATACATACCCTTACATATACTCTCATATACACATAGGCACACATGCATATTTACACTACTGCCTACACACACAATCATATACACAAAATTATACACACTTAAACATACAAACGTACACATACAAATACATACATACCCACACATACATACCAACACATACATACAGATTCACACATACACACATACATACAGATTCACACGCTCATACATAGAGATACACACACACACACACATAGAGAGATACATATACACACATACATATAGATACACACACACATACATACATACAGATACACACACACACGTGCACACATATATACAAATATACAAACACACATACATACAGGTACACACACACACACACACATACATACATATACACACACACATACATACAGATACACACACATACATACAGATACACACACATACATACAGATACACACACATACATACAGATACACATACATACAGATATCATACAGATACACATACATACAGAAACACACACACACATACCGATACACACACACATACAGATACACATACATACAGATACACATACATACAGATACACATACATACAGATACACATACATACAGATACACATACATACAGATACACATACATACAGATACACATACACACAGATACAGATACACACAGATACACATACAGATACACACACTCATACATACAGATACAAAGATTCGCATGCAAGCAGGGACAGGTGGGGAAATAAGAAAAGACGCCTGCACCTTAAGAAACATGTTTTAAAATCACCCAATCAGGACTCTGCTTAAATCTGATGTGTGAGATGAAAAAGCAGGTACAGAAGCCTAGCTGTAAACCACAACACAAGATGTGATACTTCATTTATAATGTTGTATGAACACACAAAAAGCAAAAATGAATCTCATTAACATGAAAAAGCCAGTTGTATATCCTTAAAAAAAAAAGGAACATTCTAGGCACTCACTCTGAACCTGTATTCTGTGTGCCTCCGCAAGCTTCTCACCATGTGTGACAAATTTTGACCATTGTAGACTGTGATAAACCCATGACCCTATGGGAGAGAGAGAAAAACAGTTACATGTTTATGTGTAGGAAAGAGTTTCATATGAAATCTAAGCAAGTTTCATGCTGAAGTGTAAGCCACTATTTTATGCCGAAGGTTCACAGAAATTTCATAGTGAAATGTTCACAAGTTTCATGTTGAAGAGGGCTGAGTGGTTTCAATGCATGATATCTGTCTCAAGTGCTGGAGGTTCAAGCCCCGGTGAAGGCTGGGATTTTTTCACGTGGATTTCTAGTAATATCCCCTGGTCTCTGGGTAGTAAGATCGGACACCCATGTGTATTTTTCCCGCACTCAAAAAATTCCTTGGCAGTTGGAGATCGAAAAGAGTAGCATAGCGGCACTGCCCAGGAAAAATCTGGAGTTTAAAATCTACCCAAAGTATTTCAGAATCCTCGCCGGTGCTACAGAGTTTGTGCACTGCACTGAGAATCTTCTCACTCAGCCTTGAGTTAGAAGTAGAACGAAGCCCTTATGGATTACTACCTTTGTTCTATGATGTTGATCCGTTGTTTAAACCTTGAACCTCATGTTAAAGTGTATGCAAGCTTCATACTGAAGTGTTTGTAACAGTTTCATATTGAAGTGTAGGTAACAGTGTTATACTGAAGTATATGCCAAGTTCTCTGGACATGACCATAACATTAGGATCAGAAGCTGTTCTAAAGATGATGGAAAAAGTGGCAAAAGGAAAAAGTTACTAAAGAAAGAATGATAAACATGAAAAGGGTTATAACTGAAAGAATCATTTTTATTGCACTGGGCTTTATTCTATATGGGTCAATCTCTCTGCCAGAAGCCTGTAAATGGCATTTCACATGATGTGCCAACAAAGTCTGCTTCAGACAGTGCATGATACACTGCCAACTAAGTTTGCTTCAGACAGTGCATGATACACTGCCAACAAAATCTGCTTCAGACGGTGCATGATACACTGCCAATAAAGTCTGTTTCAGACAGTGCATGATACACTGCCCACAAAGTCTGCTTCAGACAGTGCATGATACACTGCAAACAAAGTCTGCTTCAGACAGTGCATGATACACTGCCAACAAAGTCTGCCTCAAACAGTGCATGATACACTGCCAACAAAGTCTGCTTCAGACAGTGCATGATACACTGCCAACAAAGTCTGCTTCAGACAGTGCAAGAAACACTGTCGACAAAGTCTGCTTCAGGCATTAAAAGCAGACACAAGGTATTAAATAATGTTTTTAAACCTGGTATTTACTACTCTGAGGTGGAAAATGATTCAAAACACCAGAAAACTGCCTCAATCCGTGTATTTACCACTTCTGAGGGCTAAGAAATGGAGGACTTGAACCTGAGGATTTACAGCCTGCATAGCTAGGGCAGCATCCATGAAGTGTGCAGGTCATGATTTGTATTTCTACCGCGGACAGAAAATATTTCCATCACTGTACTGAGGATTCAACAGCAGATATTCAATAGAAGCCACTCCTCCTAGAAACAACAGACACATGATAAATATAAAGTTTAAATGTTACCGTAGCCTCGTCCTCCATCTGTAGCAAAAACTCATCATCATTTGGTCGCCGTATCCAGGAGATGGTCAGGGCATAGACATACTGCTCTGACAGCATGGGTGGGTCCGGCTGGGATGGCACTGTTCCGCTTGTGAAGAATGAGACCTCTTCACTAAAAGAACTGGACAAGAAAGACAAAAGTGCAACTTCCTTGAGGATGATAAACAATCAAGTGAAAAGCAAATCAATACCCTTTATTTATTTATTGGAATTTCTTGAAGAACTGTTAGCTAAATGAACAGCTTTTAACAATAACGTTCTCAGCAGCTGTTCTCGAAAACCTGTTTAAAGCATTCTAGTTAGTAAAAGTAAGTGAAGGTCCCTTTTCCATGCCTTTAGGCATATAGGGCTAGACCTATATTTTTATAGACCAATCGACACAAGAGGGGTGATGTGGTCAGCATTATGCCGGCCACCTTTACTTCCCAGGACCCGGTACCCACTCAAGGCTGGGTCAACCTGGAAGTCAAGGTCATTTTTTTTTAAAAGTCCGGCTCCGTCAGGGAGCAAACCCACGACCTTCCGATCCGCACGCGAGTGTCTAGCCGCTACACCATGGCGACTCCCTTGGGTATTCTAGGCCAAAACTAATTTGTTCAACCTGAGAAATCAAAATACTGGTTTTTGCCATCCCTTATAAATCCGTTTTTAAAACAAATTGCCATTTCAGTTTCATCACATTGTCCATTCTTCACAGTGTGTGTGTGTGCATGTGTGTATGCTGGAACCTACCTTTCTAAACGATAGTGTTATACTGTGTTATGTGAAGGCATGGGAATCCCAGCCCATGGTGCTGGCGAGTGACTAGCAAGACCCGGCCCATGCTAAGAAATGGTGACCACAATTACAGCATGGGATTTCAGGACAGCAGCTGCTGCCATCAGATGTATAATTGCTTTTTTCGGACACTTAGCTCTCAACCTTTCTGCACCATGTTTTGCTTTTATTTTAACTTACTCCCCCCCCCCCCCCCACACACACACACACACACACTCAACATGGTCCATTCCACAAAAGGCATATATATATATTTATATATATGTATCAGTTTGCGACTGCCCAGTGCTTATATAGACCGAATATGATAACATCTATTAAAAATAGCAACAGCAGAATTTTTACTGCTGACTTGTGTCAAAGTAAAGCATTTTTATCAAGAGGTATAAAAATGATTAAATGTAAAAAAATGTACTGTTGGTGCTAAATAACAGAAAGCATTATTATCTTGTTGTTGAGTCAAGACTACAAAATGTTGGAAGCCATCACTCAGAAAAACCAGAAAGCTACAGACAATCACGCATGTAATGTCTCTTGCAAAAAGACAAGATTTTCACCAAATCCATGATTAACCTGTATGAAACTGTGAGCTGGCAAGCCTGATATAAAACATAAAGCATAAAGTTCTATGCTGTACTCAAAACAACAAATCTTTAGAGACCTGCACTCTACTTAGTGTTAGGCAAGTGGATAACATCACCAATAACCAGTTTTCTTTTTTCCTAGAAAAAAAAAGGTGCCGATATTACCCATAAAGTGTCTAAAAAGGTAACAAAACTCAGCCTACAGTATCTATTACAGTAGCATTGAAACAAAAAATGATTCCTGGCAACAACAAAAAACTCAAAAATTCACAAATCACTGTACAATTAGACTGACCTTTTTCCTATTGAGTTGATTGCCATAAGACGGAACATATATCTAGTGGAAGCACTGAGATGGGTGGCTCTGTACTGGCGTTGTAAACCCAGATACACCTCATAGAACCTGCCATCGCCCTGTCCCTGGTCACTTTCCAGGCAGTAAGCTGTGATCTTGGAGCCATTGTCACATGTGGCCTAAAATGAAGAAGAGGTGAAATATCAGGCTTAGACTGTTCGGACCAGCATCTAGACAGATTACTGGGGAGGGCTGTAGGAGCTGGACCAAAACCAGGGGAAACGAAAGTTGAAAATTGAATTGGGAATCAATATCACAGCTCCCGGGACACTTCCAGCGTTCCATCCTCATCTTCAGCAGCAAGCAAAGAGTTCTAATTTCGATGGCACCGGTAACTGATTGTAAATCCGCCACACCTTTTCCTTGAATGTTGAGCGTCAGACAGATCCCCTGGTAACTCCTCGCAGTGCCATTTTCCTCAGACTTTAATGATCTATCTATTTGTGCCTCTACACTGTTCACTTGCTCCCAAGAGGCCCTCACACAATCTAGGTTGTCATACATCAATCCACCACCAAGTGGTGCAGAACTATTCAATTCAGCATAATGCTCTCCTATCCTTTACCTCCACAAAACATCAAACTACTCTAAAGTAATTGTGTAGCTGAGCTGAGTAAAGAAGCCACATCACAGCACTCAGGACCTTTTTATAAGCACTCCGTCTCCTCTTCAGGAGCAGCAAGGAGTTTCAAATTTCTGACGTTACCAGTAGCAGCTAGACTTGTATATCCGTCCTGCTATCCCTAGAGTGGACCCACCCTGGAGTGCTGAGTGGACCCACCCTGATGTGCTAAGATGACTTACCCTGGAGTGCTGAGTCAACCCATCCTGGATTGCCGAGTCGACCCATTCTGGAGTGCTGAGTCGAACCACCCTGGAGTGCTGAGTCGACCCACCCTGAAGTGTTGAGTTAACCCACCATGCAGTGCTGAGACGACCCACTGCATCATTCTCTTCCTATTCCGATGATCTATTTGTGGTTCTGCACTGTCTTCTCTCTCCAAAAAAGCCTTGGTAACATCTAGCTTAGCATAAAAAACTTGGTGTAGCAAGTAGGTTTTCTTAGTAAAACTTTAATATGGTTGAAGGAGGTACCTTGGATTTGTTTCTGTGTCCCTAAAAGACACCTGGCCTCAAGAGCAAAGTGTGCAGAGCAAGCTATGGGGAACCATGAAGGACCTGCTGCTGACATGTGAGTTCATACAGGCAACCCACATGATGGTCTAATCTGAGCATACGAAACCGAAGGCAAAGAAGAAGTTCATGTGTCGTGTGTGTCTGTGTTGTAGGTATGAATTTGCCATCCATGCTTTTGTATTTTAAAATTTAAATTTCATATTGTGAAAGTTTTGATATATGGACACAAAAATGCTTGATATATAAAACATAACTGCCACATGAAAGACGAGTGTTTGAAAGGGTCAAATGTAAGACAGGCCTGCGTGCCCAATTTGTGACCCTTTGGAAGTAAAGTTTATTTGTATGTACGTTCATTTATTTGTTCCTGTTAAATTGGCATCCAGAATGTCACTTTCTGATTCACTGTGGTATGAAGTCATCGGCAGTATTCCAGTGGGGGAATACAAAAACATGTTTTTAAAAATGTCACTGACAAGCAACAACATAAAGCCCCGTCCCTATACTTACATTCCACTTGAGAGACAAAGAGGTTTTGGTCTTGGAGATGAGTTTAGGGGGTTGAGGAGGTTCAGGTTCACATGGCAAGGTCTGGAAGCTCACAGGTTCTGTTAATGCACCTTTGAGGTCATCTGTGAGAACTGCACACACCCTGCGAAGAACAGTGGATATCATTACTGGTGCTCATGCTTAGTACAGATTTATCCTGTATAATAACAGTGAATGTAATTTCTATCTTCTTGTGAAGTACAGTTACACTATAGGATTCATAATTGCATTACATCTTTCAAACTTTAGAAAACTAGTGTGTGGGACTAACCAAAAAACTCTAATGAAATTTATACAATCACCCTAACTATAATCACCCAAATGATAAATAAATATTTATCTGTCAGGTTCATGAGGAAGGTGTGGCTAGATGCCCACCTGCTAGCACAAAGACCTAGGGTTCAAACCCACATCAAGGCAAATTATTTTGTAAACTGATCTCGACCTTCAGGTCGACCCTCCCTACAACAGGTACCAGTTGATGCCCTGGGAAATAAAGGTGACCAGGCTGGTGCCGATCACATCATCCTTGGAATTCTGATTTGACTTTAACTAAAACAGGTCTAGCACTATCTGCCTGATGTGATAAAGGTGTGCAAATGGTCTTACTGAGTTGATTGGATTGGATTTGATTTGATTCAAGAACCGACATCATAGCACTCTGGGCATTCCCATAAGTGCTCCGTCCCCATCTTCAGCAGCCAGTGAAGAGTTCCGATATTAATGGTGCTAGTAACAATCTGATTAAACGTCCGTCTTGCCTTTCCTCTGAGCCTTGAGAATCTGCCAAAACCTCTCATCACTCCCTGCTGCATCAATCTCATCAGACTGTGGTGATCCATCTGCTCCTCTGAACTGTACACAATCTCCCACAAGGCACTAACCATGTCTGCCTTATCATGTATCAGTATTCCACCAAGCTGTGCAGAGCCAACCAGTCTGTCCGCTTGTTCATTTCCCAACACACCGGTGTGCCCCAGTGAAAAAATCCAGACAATACTCCTCACCCGTGTCCTCCGCAGCGAAGCATGCCACTCTGCACGAAGCATACCTGTTCTGATCTTCCTCAGCATGATTTCTGAATCAGTTAGAATCATGATATGTATGTGAGTCATGTTCTCTAGCCAGCAGAAAGCTGCAGTGACCGCCTCCACCTCCATTCTTCCATTCCTAGTTGTTAAATACTGACAGCGCTCAGGATATTTCCATTAGCACTCCATCCCCATCTTCAGTAGCCATGGCAGATTTCAAGTTCTGATGGTGCCTGTATTCTGATGGTCCATCTTGCCTTTCACCCGAGTGCTGAATGTCAGTGAGATCCCCTGGTAATTTCATACTGCTTCGTTTTCATTAGACTGACCATGATGATCTATCCACTCGTGCCTATGCATTGTTGGCTCATTCACATAAGACATTGAAGGATCTAGCTTAAGGGTTCTTTACTTTACTAATTTATTTCAATTCATACTGTCCTTATAATACCTCAATCACTCCAAAAACAAATCATGTGATAATAAATGCACAGAATCACAAACTATTCTAATGTGGGCTCACTGCAGACAAAATGCCTCCGTAAACTAATTCATTAATGGTGTAGACTTACTTCAAGTGGTACTCTGTGGCAGGTTTTAGATCTTTCAGTGTAATTTCTGATGCATCACCACTGAAATTACCAACATTAGCAAAGATTAGCCATTTCAGCCCTAAGCCACACATGATTTTGACTGTCTCTTCCCATAAATTCCTACTATCAGGTAATTTGTTCTCTAAAATGCTTCATTTGGCCAGGGCCTACTGAAGTTATCTGGCATTCCTCGGTGGCCACTGGCTGACATTTTACTATCTTGCCAGATTACAGTGTTTTACTGTGCTATATAGAGGTGTGGGAATCACAACCCATGGTGATGAAGAGTGTGATTAGCAAACTCAGACTGCATTAGAAAAAAATCCTCCACAATCAGTGCATGAGATTTCCTACCATTGTTGCCATCACATATATATGATATGTTTCAACTCAGATGATTAGCTCTGAACCCCTTTGCAATCATTTTCGCCCTTGTATGTATTCCTTTCCTAACCACCCCCACCCCTCAATGTAATGTGATCCATGGCATCCTGTTCCTATGAATCCACCTCAATACCTGTATCACTCATGTCCTGCTTGCACACATCTTTTAAATCATAGCACTGGCTGTCCCTGAGGTCCACCCATCGGTAACTAATAACTAACATAGAGGTTTTCCCCGAAGCCTTATTTTGGATGCCTACTATTCAGTCATACTGTAATCAGCTCCCATTAGGCATATGCTATGAAAACCTAGCACTGAAAAGGTTTAGTCAGAAAGGGTTCTATTCTAAAGATGAAGTCAAAGGTCATGTTCAAACAACCAATTCATATAAAGAAAGTGCACTGAGCAACTAGAACCGGTTTATTTGTAGAGATAACGTAAACATTTTCTTTTTAGAAATAACCTAACAGTTCATTTAAAGAGATAAGTATAAACATCTTATAGTCCATGCAATGTAAGGTTGGCCATCATGTCTTTCTTTAAGTATAAACATCTTATAGTCCATGCAGTGTAAGGTTGGTCAACAGGTCTTTCTTTAAGTATAAACATTTTATAGTCCATGCAGTGTGAGGTTGGTCATCAGGTCTTTCTTTAAGTATAAACATCTTATAGTCCATGCAGTGTGAGGTTGGTCATCATGTCTTTCTTTAAGTATAAACATCTTATAGTCCATGCAGTGTAAGGTTAGTCATCATGTCTTTCTTTAAGTATAAACATCTTATAGTCCATGCAGTGTAAGGTTGGTCATCATGTCTTTCTTTAAGTATAAACATCTTATAGTCCATGCAGTGTGAGGTTGGTCATCATGTCTTTCTTTAAGTATAAACATCTTTTAGTCCATGCAGTGTAAGGTTGGTCATCATGTCTTTCTTTAAGTATAAACATCTTATAATCCACACAGTGTGAGGTTGGCCATCAGGTCTTTCTTCAAGTATAAACAACTTATAGTCTATGCAGTGTGAGGTTGGTCATCATGTCTTCCTTTGAGTACAAACATCATATAGTCCATGCAGTTTAAGGTTGGTCATCATGTCTTTCTTTAAGAATAAACATATCATAGTCATTGCAGTGTAAGGTTGGTCAACATGTCTTTAAGTACAAACATCATATAGTCCATGCAAAAGGTTGGTTGGTCATCATGTCTTTCTTTAAGTATAAACATCTTATAGTCCATGCAGTGTAAGGTTGGTCATCATTTTTTTCTTTAAGTATAAACATCTTATAGTCCATGCAGTGTAAGGTTGGTCATCATTTTTTTCTTTAAGTATAAACATCTTATAGTCCATGCAGTGTAAGGTTGGTCATCATGTCTTTCTTTAAGTATAAACATCTTATAGTCCATGCAGTGTAAGGTTGGTCATCATGTCTTTCTTTAAGTATAAAAATCTCATAGTCCATGCAGTGTAAGGTTGGTCATCATGTCTTTCTTTAAGTATAAACATCTTATAGTCCATGCAGTGTAAGGTTGGTCATCATGTCTTTCTTTAAGTATAAACATCTTATAGTCCATGCAGTGTAAGGTTGGTCATCATGTCTTTCTTTAAGTATAAACATCTTATAGTCCATGCAGTGTAAGGTTGGTCATCATGTCTTTCTTTAAGTATAAACATCTTATAGTCCATGCAGTGTAAGGTTGGCCATCATGTCTTTCTTTAAGTATAAACATCTTATAGTCCATGCAGTGTAAGGTTGGTCATAATTTTTTTTAAAGTATAAACATCTTATAGTCCATGCAGTGTAAGGTTGGTCATCAGGTCTTTCTTTAAGTATAAACATCTTATAGTCCATGCAGTGTAAGGTTGGTCATGTCCTATCTACAGCCTTCAGTTTCAAGTACAGCCATGTTTCTGAAACAAATGTTTCTTTGTACCAAGATGACAAACTGTCTATGTTTCTACTGGTCTTACCTAAAAATTTTCTTCTTAGTTCATGTAATGGACAAGAAAATCTGGGCTTATTAACTGAGATGCAAGACTCCAAAGGAGAAAATTTTATGCTTGCCAAAAGGTGAGAAAATCTGGATGTACCAAATAAAGAAGGATCCATCAGAACAATCCATTTATCTATCCATTCATGAAAAAAATCGACTGTTTAACCTACAGCGAGCAGTACTGGTTATAACCGAGGTCTGCTTCTTTGTGTCAATTATGCTGGCTAAGAAACGTTAAATATCCCAACAATAGTGGCTCGGAGCGGTACTCAAGTACCTAGTGAAGGTTACTGGGGAGGGGGAAATAAATGGAGAGAGAAAGTGAGATCCCTACGACAAACGTTGATGACAGAAACCAAAGTTGTGACACTGAATTCCATCTACAGTACTAAGAGGACTGCAAGGCATATAAACCGCACAACAGGATGATAACGAGAACACAATTATTACCACTGACATCCTCAGCCACACAGGTTACAAATTACAAAACGCTAGTGTAGCTGCTTCACGTGCCCCTAAATAAATAATTCTTTGGAGGATGAATAGCATGTCGGAGATCTGCCATCAAAATTGGGATTTTGCAATCTCTAGGTAATAACCTTCAGACAGCAGTCCAGTGGTAGGAAAACAGATGAATGATGATGAAAACAAATGCTGAATCAAGAATCGACATCACAGCACTCGGGACACTAACACTAGCCCTCCGTCCCCTATCTTCAACAACGTGCGAAGAGTTCCAATTCCAATGGCACCAGTAGCTGTCTGATTGTAAATCCATTTCCTCTTTCCCTTGAGTGTTGAGCATCAGTCAGATCCCCTGGTAACTCCTTGCAGCCCCATTCTCCTCAGACTGTAATGATCTATCTGTGCCTCAGCACTGTTCACTTGCTCCCAAAGGTCCCTCACAACATCTAGCTTGTTATACACTAATTCACTAACTAGTGGTGCAGAATGCGCCAGTCTATCAGCCTTCTCATTTCCCAACATACTGGCATAACCTGGAAAAAATATACCTGGGACCTCTGAAGTGAAACCTGCCACGCAGCATGCCTGTCACTATCTTTAAATGAAAACCGATGACAGACAGGCAAATTGGATCTTACCAAAAGACTGTCTTGTACTTTGCATCTCGTCCTTTGTCTGACAGCAGTAGCTCATATTTAAGTTCATAGGGGTCGAGGTCGACCTCAAAAGCATCACAGTCAGGTGGCGACAACTGAATCAAGCTGCTGCGAGCTTCCACATCTGTCACCTGTGGTCATATGACACATGATCTATGCACTTCTAGGTTCAAATGTTGGAACTGTGTTATGACAGCCGGCACATAAATAAATTGCTCCTATTTAGAGTCCGGCCCAACTATACACTGAAGGACATTTAATTAATGCTTGCTCCAGCTGGTCTACATCAGAGGGGTGTCACTGTCTCCTGTAGTATCACTGGTGAATGACCTGATATCTAGAACTAACCCTAACAAAAACCTCCATATTCACAGCCTCAGCCTAGGTCCCACGAAAGAGTCCACAGTATGTTCCATGGCTTCAGTATTATTACCATTTTCCACTCCAGAAAAGCACCTCTTTCCTCCTCGCCGCTCGTCAATGCTGACAGCTGACCTACCTAAATTCATGCCATTTCTAAAGTCTGTGATATATGCAATCTTACCGCCCGCTTGCAGCAGCCAGTAAAACTCGCTGCAAAGCTCGCCACCTATATACGCACAATATAGAAACCTCTTCGCGTACACAAGACAAGGTGACACCCCTCTAGCATAGACTAGGCTGTGTCACGGGCCACAAAGCAGGAATGAAAGCCCAGTTATGCTATGTTTGGGCTGGGAAACGTAAACTGGACCAATAAATCTACAAACAAAAATATTAACAACTGTGGTTTCACTAAGCACATTTACATTCAGTAGTTTGCCATAGTCTTCTGAACGGTAGATGCTCTATTTTTCTTCCTTTCTATCCCCCCAATGGAGCCTAGGCCCTCAACCAACTCACGCCAAGTCGTTCTATCTTTCCCCATTACATGGAGCTCTCCCCATGTCCAACCCATCTTTCTAACTTCATTCTCCAGCTCTCTTCTCCACGTGTTTTCTTGGCATTCCTCTATTCCTATGCCCCTGTGGGTTCCAATGCAAAGATATTATAGTTATACTGTTCTCCTGTTTTCTCAGTGTGTGTCCTATCCAACACCAGCATCTTTTCCTCACCTCTTGGTCCACTGGAGCCTGTTTAGTTCTCTCCCAAAGCTCCACATTAGTTATTCTATCATACCATTGAATTTCCTCTATTCTGTGCAGGCACCAGTTAATGAATGTCTGCAATTTATTTAGTAGTTGCCTTAGTTGTTCTCCATGTTTCCGCCCCATACAAAAGTACTGATTTGACATTAGAATTAAAAGTTGTAAGTTTAGTATTTCTTTTAATTTCTTTTGACCTCCACAAATTCCCTAGTGCTATAAAAGCTCCTCTTGCCTTTTTTATTCTTATTTTAATATCTCTATCAGTTCTTCCATCTTTATCTACATTACTGCCCAAATAGGTATACTACTCCACATCTTGGAGTGGGGTGCCGTTAAGAGAAACCACATTACTATTTGCCAGATTTATTCTCATTATCTTTGTCTTTCTTTCATGGATTTTTAGACCAAGCTGCTGTGATCTCGCATCAAGTATATTTATTTTTAACTTGTACTTGATACCACTGCCGAAATCAACACAGAGAAATCTGCTGCTAAACTGCCTGCAGCTGAATCAAACCAGATATTCTTTAGTTATGCATCACATTCAGAACTCATAACTTAGTTTCAGAGCTTCAAATAAAAATCTTTCATCTTCGGGCCACAGTGAAGATCATATCATTCTCTCTTTCTGAACTACAAAGTGCCAATGAGAATATGAACATAATAAATCAAATGGCAACTGTTATTACTTCTAAAAAAGAAAACTAACAAGCATACAGTTAAAGACTGGAGGTCTGCTGAAACTGGTGTATGTGTTGGGCAAAAAGCACAGATATCACGCACACCAGCTATGCCAACACAATATGTCAACCACCCTTTAATGGTGAAAGCAAAAAAGGAATACAGCCTTCCTCTAAGACAAATTTCTTTCTCCTTCCATTGTGACTTCCAGTGACAATAGGTTATATACTGTTAACAAATTGGAATCTCTTTTCTTTCTCCTACTTCAGTAACCAGAAACATGTATTACTCTACCTTGGGTGTCGGCATAGATGACAGACACTGTATAATCAAGGAGTTCTCTTCCTCCACATCCAAAGGCCCATTCTCCTGTGCCATGCAATGCCCATGTATCAGTCCAGGCTCCACATGCATCCCAATATCCCCGTTCACTGTGTGGAAAGAGTAACAGCCATATACAAGTGTGTCATCACATATATGTACATAGAAGGGTATTTGAAAATCTATAATAATTTTGAGAGATAATTTTAAAAATTGATCCTTACTCACCTCATACAATGGACTGGTGTAACCATTATAAAGTTAGTTGCATATCCTTTACAGGACATTGCAAAACCAACCCCAGCATTTGTTGGCTGTCGTGGGTTTTCAAGGAACGTTTTACATTCAGTAGTTTGCCACTGCTTTCTGAACGGTTAGCTCTTGGTACCAGTGTCGAAACCAATGCAAGACAAACCATCTGTAGCTGGGATCAAACCCTGCACCCCAGCATCGCGAAGCGCATTTGCAAAGCCTAAGCCACAGATGTCGACCACTATACGTGTCCTATTTATAACTTTTTGAGAGGCTGAATCAGGTAAGCAGGATCTTCTTCTTTTTTGCGATCACCAGCAGTAAACTCCATCAGAGTGCTGGTTGTTTGTCCAAAGAATGAAATGGTTCAGCTATCTAGTGAGAATGCAACGAGAACATAATGCATATGATACTTTTTACAGCAGCACATCTGGGAGAAAGACAAGGGAAAGACCAAGAAAGAGACGGATAAAGGATGTAGCAGAAACCTGCAAAAACATTAACAAACCCATCACATAAGAGCCCGAGCGGCGCAAGACAACTACAGAAAACCATGACACTGGGCTACAACCTGGTATCAGTGAGACGACAAAAGAAGAAGAATAAATTCATTGAGAAAGAACTTACTTCCAATAATTCTATTTCGCCTGCCAGACAGTGGTCGAGATGTGTTGGGGTAGTAACCATCATTCAGGTTGATGCGACGCTGCAGTTTTTTGCGGACTCTATTCCGTGTGCGCAGGGTTCTGTCATCTGTGGAGTTTAGTGGTGGGCTCACACCTGAAACTGACAATGTGGGAGACATAAATACAGATCAGTGTGATATTTATGGTAAATGGTGTTTCGTAATGTGAAATGTGGCATGGATGATCTGTTAGCTCTTATCTCATTCACTCTCACTGTGTCTATGCGCATGTGCACACGTGGTAATATGTAGTGTGCTGATCATAATAATTTCTTGTGTGACATTCAGTGTGCTGCTACTGATTTTTAGTTTGACATGCAGTGTGCTGCTACTGATTATTAGTTTGACATGCAGTGTGCGGCTCATAATTTATGGTGTGACATGCAGTGTGTGGCTCATAATTGCTGGTGTGACATGCAGTGTGCTGCTCATTATTTCTGGTGTGACATGTAGTGTGCTATTGACTTATGGTGTGACATTCAGTGTGCTGCTCATGATTTCTGGTGTGACATGTAGTGTACTACTCATTATTTCTGGTGTGACATGTAGTTTGCTGCTCATGATTTATGGTGTGACATGTAATGTGCCGCTTGTGGTTTCTGGTATGACATGCAGTGTGCTGCTCATAATTCCTGGTG